TTTTTTTTTTTTTTTTTTTTTTTTTTTTTTGGTACCAGGGATGAAACTCATGACTTTGTGCTTTCAGGCTCTGGCCCTAATCATTTTTGGGGGGCAGTGGTGCCGGGTATTGTATTGAACTCGGGACCTTGCGCTTGCAGGGCAGGCGGCAGAATCACTGAGCCAAATCCCCAGCCCCCTAATAATTTTGTTTTGTTTTGTTTTTTTGAGACAGGGTCTCACTATGTAGTTGAGACTGACCTGGAACTCACTATGTAGCCCAGGCTGGCCTCGAATTCACAGTGATCTTCCTGCCTCAGCCTCCTGAGTGCTGGGATTACGGGCATGCACCACCACGCCTGGCCCCCCTAATCATTTTTAAAGCAGGTTTCTGTGAAAGTTCCTAGACCTCAGCTGTTTAAACTGACCATCTACTCAGAGTCAGTCACTGCAGACCAAGCACCAAACAAGCATAATATGCCATTCTGGATCAACACTTCATTGGTTGAGTTGAAATAGTGGGACCCAGAGATAACTTGGAACCTTGCTTCCATTGGTCCCAGTGTTATTAATCATACTTTTTTTTGTGTGTGGTACTGGGGATTGAACTCAGAACCTTGGGCTTTCGAAGCATGTGGCAGAACCACTGAGCTAACCCTGGCCCTTATTCATACTTTATAGATGTGTTTCTCAGAACAGCCCCTACAAAGTCTCTTCCAGCATAAAACAGCAACAGAGCATCTTGAATTATCTTTCCTGAATCAGAGCTAGACCCCTGTCACTACCCTTGTTGCTCAGCATTGGGAACTATGACCCCCGCCATGGCAGGAAGTCATCGTTCGAAGTGGTCACTCTCAGGCGGAGGGTGGCATCAGATGCATCGTCTTTTTTCACTTCAAAGTTCTTTCACCCCAGTTGCCATCTATGTGTTGTCTTTGGGGAGTTAAAAGTTAAATCTTTGTATCCTTCACCAAAAACAAGTTCTTTTCAAATCCTAGTATCACGTTGGATGGAGGCTTTGACACTGGAAATCTAAGAGATACCAAATTCTTTATGTAGAAGGTACTTCCTTCTACCACTCAGGTGTTTTTTATTTTTCTTTGTGACCCACTGGTCCAACTGTGGAGTTATAATTTTCACAATTGCTTATAAAATAACATTTAATAGCAAGGTTTTAGAAGGACTATAAGAGATGTAGTGTAGAGAACATGGACTTTACAGTTCAACTAGATTTGAAATTTGGGTGATTCATTCATTAGAAAGGAACAGAGTACTTAACTGTTGGCTGAGCACTATATGCAGAGTACCTACTGTATGTGTGAGCAAATAAAGCAGATACAGCCTCTTTTTCATGGAGTGCGGAGTCCAATGTGGGGAATGGTGTGTGATGACCTCAGAACTCTCCTCACTGACTCTGTGACCCTAAAAGTTACTCAGCCTTTCTGTGCCTCAGATTTATATAAAAGAAGTGGGTATATGTACCTGGCTGAGTTGTGAAGATGATCTTTTTGAAAGCATTGGCATTAATGAGTCCTCATAAACAAGAATTGTGCCAGATGTGCTGTTGCATGCCTGTAACCCAGCACTCAGGAGGTGAAGCAGGAGGATTGTAAACCAGCCTGGGCTGCATAGTGAGTTCAAGTACAGCCTGAGCTACATAGTGAGACTGCCTCAAAAAAACCAAAAAGTTGTTTTCATATAGAGTACATTGTACGTTTTTGTCCTTACAACATCTCTTGACTATTGGTGTAGGTATGATAAGCCTTGTTTTTTTGTGGGTTTTGTTTTTGTAGTACTGGGGTTGACCTTTTTGCATGCTAGGCAGGTGTTTTACCACTGAGCTAGCTCCATTTTGTGAATGAAGAAACTGATGCTAAGAGAAATTGAGCAACTTGCCAGAAAGATTTTAAGTGACTTGCCTAAAGTCACACAGCTATTAAATGAAAGAACTGAGAATCAAATCCAGGTCTCTTGACTCAAAAGCCTGTGCTCTTTTTATTATATAAAGCTCCCTTGGGAAACACACTTAACCACAATGAGCTTTGCTGTTCACTGTGCTTATTTCCCATTTTAATTAGGAGAGCTTTCCTGTGTCCCTGCAGGACAGCCTTACCTCTGTAAGGCAGGGGCAAAACTAATTGGAACAGTAGGAAACCACTTTTCCAGTGCTTGCTGAGTTTGAGGGAGATCCCCTGCCTGTCTGACCCAGCCTGCTGCAGCTTTCCTCCTACCCCCTATGCTGTGCAAGCAGTGAAATGCTTAAGGGGTGATTTCATTATCTCTGTCTCAGGCAGTAGCAGCCCCAAGCCTCGGCCTGAGGCTTGCCTGTCTTGCCAGTTCCCCTTGCTTGAGCGAGCCCATAAATCTCCAGGAGGCCCAGGCTAGCCCTCCTGCTGCTTGTGCTTAGGAATTACTTCTTGTGCTTTGAAATGAGATGCTATGAAGGGAACTTGTGCTTTCTGGATCTCGGGTGTCTCGCTTGTCTTTTACTGCCTTCGATGCTTTGTTCCATATTGTGTTGAAAGAGAGCAGGCAGTTAGGTTGGATGAAGGGAGCTGGCATCTACTATGAAGGTATGCAGGCTTCTGACCTGTCCTTAGAGCACAGCTCTTGCATGGGCTCAGAATTTCTGTCCCATCTTCCTGGAGTTCAAGTTGCAGTGCTTTCACAATTCCTGCTAGGGCGGCAGGAGGGGTCTGGTTGATGTTAAAGTCGGTGCTCTTTCTGTCGCATCATCTAGCCGTGCAGACTTTCTCTCCAGGCTTTCCTTTTTCCCTACCTCTGCCTCAGTGCAAAAGGCAGGACCTGGGGTGAGTGGCACTGTGTTGGCAAGCCATTAGTAGGTAGATGGGCACTGAGAACTGAGTAGCTAAGTGGTTGTGTGAGAGCTTCTAAGGCCCTTGGCTTTATTTTGGCAGAATGTGCGAAGGTCTTTCTTGAAAGACTGAGTGAAAAAATCGTCCCACTCACTACATGTGGACTCTCTCACTGGGAGACAGCAGGGCTGGTGGAACAAACACTGGATTTATGATACAGCCCCTAAGGTTAAGTCTTCCTGCAGCCAGTTACTGTCTTGGGAACTCTGAATGAGTCACATCATTCCTTTGAGCCTCAGTTTCCTAATGTGTGAAGAAGTGATGGTTTCTACCCTGAGAATTGAACTCATGTTTGTGAAAGTAGTTTACAAGCTGTGAATGTGTCAGTGTTGACCTACAATCTGAATTCCCACAGGAAAACATGGATGCTGTAAAACCTAATGGTGGGCCAGGGATTTAGCTCAGTGGCACCATGCCTGCCTTGCAATGTAAGGTCCTGAGTTCAATCCCCGGTACCAAAAAAACAAAACAAAACAACAACAACAAAAAACACCCTAAAGGTGGTAGAGAAGGGGTGGTTCTGCCCCCAGAGTGCTGCCTTGTAAAGACCATCTGTTTTCTTCTGTTTGTCCCTTCCTTTAGTAATTGTGTCACTCAGCCAGAAGATAGTTAATTAGCTGTTCCTCGTAGTTTGTGCCTGTAAGAGTAATCCATCTGAGTTCTGATATCTGAACTTTTGTTTTGTCTCCAAGTTATTTGAAATATGAATTAAAAATTGCTTCTTGGACTTTTGGCTAAGATCAAGTGTTAACTAAGAATTAAAGTGTTATTCCTTAGAAAATCAAGGGCAGGCTGGCATAGGGGTGCACACCTGTCTGTCTGTAATCCCAGTACTCTGGGAGACTGAGGCAGGAGAATCATAAGTTTGAGCCCAGCCTGGGCAATTTAGAAACTTAGTGAAACCCTGTCACGTAATTTAAAAAGACTGAGGATGTAGCTTAGTGGGAAAGCCCAGAGTTCAAACTCCAGTACAAAAAAAAAAGGAAAGGAAAGGAAAAAAGAAATTGACAGTAGAATTTATCCTGAGAAACTTCCCAGCAGCTGGGTTTTCAACTCATGTGAATGTTAATTGCTCTTCATGCTCTTTCCTGGGGCCAGTGTCAGGGTAAAGCAAAACTGTAATTGGGAGTTGTTCGACTTCTCTCCAGTGAGCCCCTGGAGAAGAGGGCAGGGGAATTACAAGAGGCCTTACTTGCTAGTGGCAAACACAGGACCTACTTGCCTTAGCCTTGGGAGGCTGGGCTGGGTAGGCCAGCACCTCTGCCTGCCTGTTCCTCACTGGGAGTAAGAATGAGAACTTATTTATTTATTTACTTAGGTTTTTTGAGACAGGGTCTCACTATGTAGTTCAGACTGCTCTGGAACTCACTGTGTAGCCCAGGCTGGTCTCGAAATTGCACCGATCCTCCTGCCTCATCCTCCCAAGTGCTGGGATTACAGGTGTGCACCACCATGCCTGGCTAGAACTCATTTATTGAGCACCTGTTTGTTGTATGAGCCCCTCAGGGTTAATACCACTCCAGAAGGATTAGGAGCCTCACTTGCAGACCAGGGAAGGAGGCTCATAGAAGGACTCTCTTCTGTCCTGGGATCTGCAGAGAGTAAAGAGTAGAAAGGGTTTGGAAGAGATTAGTCAGATTCCAGGGCTGGGCTCTTTCCCTGTTACCTAGCTTTTTTTTTTGAGGGGGGTGGTTACTGGTGATCAAACTTACGACCCTTGTTTACCTAGCTTTTTACCAGAGGGTAAGAGGGTCTGTTTAGGCAAGAGAACCCCACAGGAGTCTCAAAACAGCATGTGATCTAGGTGCAATTGTGAGCAACTTGCTGTTTTGCCCCTCGGTGCAGGAAGCCTCCTTTGCCCACCCCTGCTGTTTGCGTGCCTGGAGCTTGGTCTTGTTGACCATGCGGCAGCATTGCCTGTGGACTATGGTGAATCCTTTGGGGCCCTTTGCTCTGCGTTTGTTGCTAAGTACATGGTGTGCCTGCCATTTTTTAGCCTTGGCTGAGCAGGACTTCTGGGGGAATGGCTCTGTACCCTTAAGCCAGAGCACCCCGATTCTTGTTGAAAATGGGACTCAGATCCCATAGAATTGCCCTTGATCAGATTTTTTTTTTTAATTTCTTGTAGGTAGAAGCTACACAAAAGACTTTGTGTAAACTTACACTGTACTTAGGAACAGCTGTCAGTGGCTGTCTCAGATGTCATCATCATATCCCTGACAGCTCCCTAGATGGGTTTGAAATTGGGTGTTTCCTACTTATGAAGGGGAAAATGAATATTCATCACTGCTGAAGGCCAGGTCTCCTGTAGGCATTGTCAGATTGACAACTGGGCTCTCCTGGTGGCCTGGGGTCAGCAGAATTAATATTCTTTTTTTTTTTTTTTT